GTACAACTCAACTCAAATCATCGTATTTGCATCAACTCAATTCAGCTTAACGCTACGACATCTCGCGTTATATCGCTGGCAATAGTGGTCTCCGACATCACCCTCTCAAACGAGCCCGAACAATATTCGCTACATCATCTGAAAGATAATTCCGGAATTTTTTGTAATTTTAAACAATTTCAAATTAACAATTGCAAATTGTTGATTACTTTTCGGGATTTGAATAAACGATGCGATGAATTTCAGCAAATTAAATTTTGATAAATTCATTTTGAAACTTTTAAAATTATTTTTTTCTTACAAAATTATTGCTTGATTTTTGCAGATAGCAAATAGTTTTATAAATTATACAAATTTCATTTACTCTTGAAATAAAATTTACATTTAAACAATTTTTTTTCATTTTTCACTAATAATTCTTCAAAATTAAAAACTTACATTTAACAGATTAATACTTTTTCCAAAATAAATTGTAACATTTATTCAATCGAATATTATGCCTTAAGGCACATTAACATAATAAAGTTAATAGTTGGGATGATCAATGTCTAGGATTATTTTCGCATTTCTAAAGTTAAAACCAATTAATTGATTTGTTGATAATTTTTATAAGGTAGTATGTTGCAATACAATTCATGCAAATTATAGATTTATATTAAAATGATAATATTTTTAAGCAGATGAGTAAATTAATGACCAAGTGAGTTAATTAATTAAGGGCTAATTATTTCATTAAACTAAGATAATATTGAATGATTATCGGATAACCATTAAGAAACAAATTCGGCTATCTTTATGGCTATCGTTTGCGGTTCTGATACGTTGTTCTATGCCAAAACCGCAAGAAGTTGAACATGTTGACCATTCAGTCCATTGGTGGTCATTTACTAAAATAATTAGGATACATTTATTATCCAACATCTATTATTCTTTATGCTCAATAACTTTGCATTCGTTATTTTATTAAGCAAATAAGCTTATAAGTTTATCTTATTTTTTGCTAAGCAAATAATTTTTCATTTAATCAATAAAAAATAAAATAAGCTTTAAATCTATTTAACAAATAGGTAAATAAGTCTTAAACTAGCTCTTAAATACCATGTAATTATTGTCAGGTGAAAAAGCAAGAAATTTAAGTACCTGTACAAATGCCATAGCACAATTGACGTTGTCGCCGTTGCGAAATATGATGACATCCTTTTCCGCTGATACATATGCTCTCTCTTAGACGAAAACCTTTTTGTCCACAATTTGAACCAGTACAACTACTCCATTGTGACCATTTACTCCATACTTACAAATTTATTTTATTTTACGAAAAAAAACAAAATTAAAAAAAATATCAAAATTTGACATAATTATAATTTTTATTTATTATTGTCACTTTTTTTCTCGTAAACGTATAATCTTTTGTCATCACTTCACTCCTCCCTCCTTCTATTTGCTGAATTAAAATATTTGTTAAAGCTTATTCATATAATTAGACAAATTAACATTAATTAAGGTAATTAATTAAGCTTCAATAAATATATTCATCAAATTTTGCTTAATTTGTCACAGTGTTAAAGAAAATTTATTGCTAAACTAAATTAATTACTGTGTCAGTTGTTTATTGTTTATTATTTGTTTGTTTGTTTATTTTCTTCCTTATCTATCACAACATTTTATTTTTCAAAATTTTAAAATTTTTATAAAATTTAAATTGTACGGAATATAATTAACTAACTTTGTTTAATTAATTGATTTGTCGCATTATTAATTATAATTTTGACATGTTTTCGCATCAATTGCATGGAACCATTTTGGATTATTTCATTTCGTTTTGGACAATGTGATGACAATTCAACAATTGCTCGTCCATTACAGTTCAATTTCTGTTAGCTTTTAAAATTTTTTTTTTTTTTATTTAAAGCTTCAATATTAATTTAATTATGACGAATATTTTAAACCAAGTTTTTCTTAATTCAAAAAATTATAATGAAATACCCTTTTAAAACTAATTCGATTTATTGAATTTACAATTTCACTAAAAGTTAAATTTCTTTTTTTTTGAGAAATTAAAATTAAATGTTACTAAATTTAAAAGCTAAAAATTTTTTATTCACAAACAAACGAGTATAAAAATTTTTCAAACATCCGGAAAAAAAGTAATTTAATCAATAAACAAAAATTTGCAAATTTAAAGATTTACAAAATTATTCCGAATAATTTTGTCATTTTTTGTTGGAAAATTAATCAAGAATATTTAAAATAAAAAAAAAATATTAATTACCCTACATCGACCTTTGATACAGTAATGTTCTGTACCGCATGGTGTACCGTCCGGAAAAATGGTTGTTGTCCGGATTCGTTCATGCGATAGGAAACACCTAAATATTGTAAATATTTCAAACATTATATATTTGATAGAAATTACAAGTGTTCAGTAGCTATTAGCATTATTGAAAATGATTTAATTTTTAGTTTAAAATTTTGAAACTTTAAAACACCTTCTAATTTGAAAAAATAATTTCTTTCTAATTTAAAAAAGATTATAATCTTGAAAAAAAAATTGAAAAAAAAAGCTGAAATAATTAAATGGAATTAAATTTTTTAATTTTTTAATTGATTTAATTGTTATTTTAATGTTAATACCATATTTTACAGAGATCAGCACTGTATTGCATTCCCTCTCCGGTTAAATTTTTTGTTGATAATTCACCATTATCACGAAGTTTGGTACAACTTTTTGTTGCAAATTGTTTAATTGTTAATCCATCACATTTCTAATACATATTTTTTAAGTTATATATCAAAAAAAAAAAATTGATAAAAGAATATATAAAAATTAAATTTAAATTAACAAAAATATTTGATAAATAAATGGAAAAAATCATCTATTATTTCATAAATTTGTTTTGAT